CTCATAATATACTCTTCTTGTGAAGCAATGTCATCCTAGAAACAGCTTTTTCCTCAGTGTGGAGTGATAAACCATCTCTGTATCCTCATTTCAGTTAGTTTTACCAATTACTATTTTAATTTAGGTGACATAAAAGTGCACTGTACATCTGTTTTAGAGGCTGTAGTATATTAAATTGAACCCAACACTGAATTTCCTGTCCACAGCTGCAAAACCAAACAATTATGTTATGCTTTTTTTTCTTAGCAGGAAACACTAAATTCTCCTCGTATAAAATAATGATGTTGGCGGTAAAATTCCTGTTCTCTTGCATGTGAAAAATTTCACGTTAACATAACTATAGTATTTTAACACCCTGTTATGAAAATTGCTGCATCTGTTCTTTAAAAATGATAGGCTACCTGATTCAATGTAGAATGACAGTGGTGTTGAATGTAGTATCTCTTAAAGAAGGCACTCAGGAAAATGGTGCTCAAACTCTCTATCTGGAAACAAATTACCCAGACTAAATGAAAACTTCTTTGCTCTTGTAATACTCAGAAATATTTTTAACTCATGGGAAGACTCTTCTTTAACCTTCTCTTTTATCTCAATGTATTTTGTGACAAAATTAAATTAGGAAGGAATACATGAAATGCTAACATAAACACTACCTACCATCATTGATTGCCTCCAGTAGGACTGCTTAATGCAGTACAAGCTGGGAAGAGCAGTTAGTGTCTACTGCCTTAACCTAGGTCTTAAGAACTGACTTTAGAAGTCATGGTAGCAATGCTCTCAGGACTGTAAATGAATACTGTACCTGTGGCAGAAAAGAGAGTGGGCGTCCTGGACAGTAACCCAAACCTCATAAGAATATTGCTCTTTGGTTTAGATAGAACGCTGCACATGCTGAGTTGAACAAGATGTACATGAAGAAGAAAAGAAAAAGGTTTCTAAAGGAAAATGCAATTTAACTATTGTCTGAACAAGTGAGGCCATCATGTGGCAAATTAAAGACATGGCCACTGAGGGAAAAATAATTGATTAACAGTATTGGTGATAACAAAGAAAAAACACACCTTCCATTATGAACTCAAAGGAACCTGTTGTGAAAGTTCAGATGCAGAAATTTGCCCTAGGTTTTAATTTTTTTCATGTGGAATTCTAGAGAAATTTTGAAGGATACTTTAGAAGTTCTTTATCAATGAAAGATTCTTATATGGAAATCATGTACTTTTCTCTATCTTTAAAGTCTCATGGGTAATAACGGAAGAATGAGAGTTAGAAGGAATAATCATGTCATCAGAGGAAAGGTTACAAATGTCTTAAAATGGAAGACAAATGAGCAACTAAGTTTCTGATAATCTATGGAGCTCCTCAGGAAATTAAATTATAGATGTCTGCAACACTAGATTGTTGTATGCTTCATTGAATGTGCCGTTAAGCTGAACCTTGAAATATGAGTGTCTTTAACTGTAATTCCCAACTCTAGCATGTATGAAGAATGTCTGCGTTGTTTCTGATTTAGCAGATATGTCAATAACTTTCGTTGTAACTCTTTTATTTTTTTTACACTGAAAAACAGACAGGCACCTGGAGATAAATCTTCTGTAGAGCTACCCAACAGAAAATCTTGGGAAAGTTTTATTGACATTAGGAATTTCTATGCTGAATTCACTTTGTGGATGGAGAAATGTGTCATAGTTCCATAGTGCCACCTTCTACCCTTCCCTTGGAATGCAGGCATCAGTTTTGTTTATGTGTTTTTTCAACAACATGGAAATAATGTATTGTTTTGCATGACTATGAAATACGTGCATATGAAGAAATGGCTAAGAGTTGTATAACAAACAAACATATTGATTAATCCAAAATGAAAGCTGTACAAAGTGTGATATATATACAAGTGAAAGTAAGAAAAAATTAATACTGGCGAAAGCCAAAAATACCTAGAAAGAAAATAGTGTGAAGCCAATGTTAATCAAACAGCTTGTCAGAGCCCCAGTGGTAAATAGAGAGTAGATAATCTGGTGACTTTAACACCTACAGTAGCTTAATCCTTTTGAAATTCTACCCTGACTCTTTTTATACATTGCTGCAACTCACTCAGCCTGACCCCACAGGAGAGGGCGAAAGGTGCTCCAGCGCTCTGATTATCTTCATGGCCTCCTCTGGACTCACTCCAACCAGTTGATCTCCTTCTGATGTTGAGGGCTCCACAGCTGGTAGGGTCCCACCAGAACAGAGAAGAGAGGGAGGAAGAATCACCTCCCTCAACCTGCTGGCCATGCTTCTTTTGCTGCAGCCCAGGATACGGTTGATTTTCTAGGCTGCACACTGCTGGCTCATGTTTAGTTTCTCATCAACCAATACCCTCAAGTCCTTCTCTGCAGGGCTGCTCTCGATCCATTCATGCCTCAGTCTGTATTGATATTGAGGATTGCCCTGACCCAGGTGCAGGGCCTTGCACTTGTTGCACTTCATGACGTTCACATGGGCCCGCTCCTTAAGCCTGCATAGGTTCCTCTGGATGCCATCCCTTCCCTGCAGCGTGTTGATCTGCACCCCAGAGCTTGGTGTCACTGGCAAGTTTGCTGAAGTTGTACTCAATCCCACCATCCATGTGTACTGGGTTTGTGGGGCAGGTCAGGTTGGTAGTGGGAAAGGGCTACAGGGATGGCTCCTGTGAGAAGCTGCTAGAAGGTTCCCTGACCCCAAGTCCGACCTGCCTCTGGCCAAGGCTGTGCCAATTAGCACCTCTGTGATAACATATTTAAGGGGGGGCAGGGGAAACAACCTGCTCTGAAAACTGGAGCAGAGAGAGAAGTGAGATGTGAGAGAGACAAAGCAGACCCCCAGGCCAGTGTGGAAAGGTGGGGAGGAAGCAGCTGGAGCACAGACTGCCCCACAACCTGTGGTGAGTGGGCAAACTGTGCCCTACAGCCATGGAGGGTCACGGGGGTGACCCTGTCTGTCCTTTTGGCTTTGTGACTGTAAATCACGTGATGAAGCATCTGGTGGTAGCAAAGCAGTAGTATTATGGTTGCTGTGGTCTTCTGAAAGGAAAGCAGCTGTAAGCAGCAGCATAGTTATTTAAGCATTTATGGAAACAAAGATTTTTATCCTAAAAGGGAAGTACTTTCCTTACAGCCCTTTTCAACCGTGAGGTGTTCAGCAATTATTATGTAAGCTTTTGTGTAACTCTCAACAAAGGGGAAACACTTATTTAGAAGTGTGGAAGAAAAAGATGGGGGAAAATAGATTGTTTTGGAAAAATTGTACATTGGACATAAATTTCTGAAATAGATTTTAAACTACATGGCTAAAATTAAAAAAATATTACTTTCAGACGTCCATGGTAAAACATTTACAGTGCTTCTCCAATTTTCAGGGAGAGCTAGAATTGTCTGGTAAATCAAGATTCTTTTGAAATTATGTAAGTTGGGGGAAACAATCCAATCATTAGAAACTGTGTAATCAAAAATTAAAACCCCTGGTATTAAAAATAAAATACTAAAATCCAGAATTTAGTTTAAAAATCAACATAAACATGTTCCTGCTTGAATCTTCAGACTATAATGTTAAAGAATATCTATTCCATTTTTGCAATTGCAAGTATAACTTATTTATAGTATGGTGCAGACAGCCCTAGTCATGGAGAAGAACACTGTTATATCAAGTAATATATAAACAGGAAACAAACATGCTACTCAAATTGGTTTTCCATCTAAAGAACAGAAGAAAACAGGTAAGTGATTGAAGAGGAGTACAATGAGACTGCATCAATCAACATTCTGGAGAGTGTTATTAGTACATTGATGAGCCTAACTGTCTGTCTATCTGTTAGGCTCTGTGTGTGTAAATATCTACAAGTAGATATGACAGATTATATGTATAAATCTCAGGGAATCAGAAATTGCTATGATGGAAGTGTGGAAGACTAATTAATCAGGCCAGTTTTAAACTTAAAACCAAAACTTTACTGCATAAATATTAATTAACAATATACATTGCTAATGGTTAGTTCTTAATTAATAATCACTATTACTACAAATTCAAAGCAGTTAGTCCTTAACAGTCATTCTAAATTAGCAACTAATATACAATACCACAGAGCTGATGCCATATAATTAGCACTGATAGTTACAGTCCTTGAGAGCCTTAATCATCAGGGTGATCAGCTTCAAGAGCTTTTCAATGAAGGAAGCTAACTAAGAGGATGCCTTCCTTCCCTTTCCACAAAGCCCATATTCAAGATTTTCATATTTCGTAAAACACTGCAGTCTTTAGATAGTTCTTAGCCCTTGACCTCTGATCCCTAGAACTTTGGGAGACTTGCAGATGTTACTTTCCCAGGCTGCAGCAGGTGCCTTGACCAACAGTTATGGGGTTTTTTCTTACCTGCTGCTTCTTTTCTGTGCTATACTTAAAGCAGTCTTTTCCCTGCTCTTAAGGTTGCACCTCTTCAACGATCAGTAACTGCCCATCAGTGAGGTACTTTGAGTTCTGGGATCTTTGTTTTTCAGCCTGCACCCACATTTTCAGGAATTTTGCTGTCATCCCAGGCTAAAGCTCCACTTTGTAACAGGAGGCATCTTGCATCAAGCTCCAGCTGACCTGCAAGTTCTCGTAACAAGTTGATAATAAGCCTAATAGGCCAGGACTGACTGTGCCTTACACATGCACAGTGACAATAAGGCTTGAGGTTTGTTTGTAGCCACAGCAAAATTACTTTTACTGAGAATGGAGATGTTTACAGGTCATTTACCAGACATGGCTGATTACTGTGATTTTGACAGAGTTCAAAGCAAGCTAATATTGATTATATTTGGCTTAGCATGCTTTTACTTTTAGGAGTGCAATAGGACTCTGCTTTGGCCACGTAGTAGAGTGGTTTGAATAATGAAAACTAGTAGTGAGTTACTTAGTATTTCTTGGTTTCGTAGGACTTATGAAAAGGAGGAAAGCCAAAAGTATCAAGACTGACTATTAATATTGAAATAATTACAGTGACAAAAATAGCAGTATTGAAATAATTACAGTGACAATTCAGAGATAAGTACTGCCTTTAATTTACATGTTGCATGACCCACTTTGAACATTGACCAGAGAATAGTAGATGCCTTTTTCAGCCAGGAGCTGCTGATGGGTCCCTAGCTCTATGACCTTGCCGTTCTGGATCACGGCAATCTTGTCAGCATTTTGGATGGTGGAGAGGCGGTGAGCTATCACGATGCAGGTGCGACCTTCCCTGGCTTTATCCAGTGCTTCCTGGACAATCTGTGCAATGAACAAATCAAAAGGTGAGTTATTCTGGCAGCTGTTGTGAGAAATACCTCAACTGCCATCTGTGAAGCAGCTGTAATATGACAGTGAGGGAAAAGTAGTATCTGTGGCTTTAGCTTCCTGTTTTAGAATTAGACTGTGATGGCAAGGAGTCAAATGTGTCATAGGGGATGACACCATGGTCGCTAAGAGGATGAGATGGAACCAGGCTCATTACTGAGTTGTACAGTAGGAGAACAAGAGAAAATTTTCATAATCTGTAACAGGGGAGGTTTGTACTGGATATAAGAAACACATTCACTGCAAGGATAATTAAGCATTGGAACAGGGGCAAAAGAGAGCTTGTTGAAACCCCTTGGAGATTTTCAAGGGCCCTACCGGACACGGTACTAAGGAACCTAGTTTGAATTCAGTATTGGCTCTTGTTTGAAGAGGGAATTTGATTAGAGGTCCTTTCCATGACCAATTAATTACATGTGGGATTTAAGCCAGTAACCTTGGGTCAACTACTATCCTACTAGCTCTCGTGATTTTGCAGGGAGACTCATGAATCATGTTTTCCTTAAAGCTAGCACCAACAGAAAAGTACTAATAAAAATATCTTCTTTCTTTATTACTTATGTTTATTAATGCAGAATAGAATAAGAGATGAAATTTCTGTACCTGACACATAATTAAGAGAACAAAGAATCCTGGAATTATTTAATGGCTTTTTTCCACTCAAACCCCATGTGTTTATGCCTAGAATTGATCAAAACTTAGTCCTTAGGGTTTGAGCTTTTTAGATTATAATATTTGCCTCGTTAATAGTAAGTATATTTGTAGAATCTGTGTTGATTTTCTACAGCTTGACTGTACTCCAGTTACACTAACATTGCTGCTTTGGGCTTAAAAAATTAATAAGTATTCTAGCAATTTTTTTCCACTGGAAGTTTGCATATTAGCCATGAACATATATCAAGGACTGGAGAGCAATGGTAGAAGGAAGAAAAATTATGAAAGCAAGATTTGGCAGTTTCCCAGAAAAAAATTCTCTGGCACCATCCTCAATCTTTTCAGTTTCTGAAGTTTGTGCCTCCTGATTCAGTTTTGACAGCACTTTTCCAATTGAAGCCTGAACAATTCCAGGCAAAGAAATACCTTCTTCATTGCTACTTCAATCTGCCTACTGGCATGCAAAATAATATGCTTTTTCGGAAAGGAGGAGTAAGACCTTTATATTTGTCTATTATTAGCATAAATATGTAATTTGCATAAAACACCATATTTCCAGCTTTGGGCTTTAACACGTAAGTGTGAAAACAATAATCAGAATACAAACAAACATGGATTTAGATTCCAGACTCCTGGTTCACAATGAAGTTACCTTTTCACTTTCTGTATCTAAAGCAGATGTAGCTTCATCCAGCAGTAGAATTTGGGGCTGACGTACAAGAGCTCGGGCAATAGCAATACGTTGTTTCTGACCACCAGAAAGCTGAGTTCCCTTGTCTCCTACGCGGGTATTGTATTTCTAGAAACAATATATCAAGTTCAGACTATGAATGTAAATTGATTTGGAAGTGTATTTAAGCATATGGACCCCAACCCCAGCCATCCATAAACCACAGACGCATGCCAATAGCTCTCTGAATGCTTCTTTGTAGCATCAAGCATTTCATAAATTCAAAGCAACAACCTCTCTAAGGTTGGGAGGCAACGGTATTTTCAATCAGGAGATAGAAAACCACAGCCCACTGAAAGTCTGTGACAATACTGGGGATCAAACCCTGACCTTAAACACTCCAAGCTAGCATCCTGACCATTCAGTTATTTGAGCTCACGTGCATTCAAAATGAAGAACAAAACAGCAGTGTCTAAGATGTATCAGTTTCAGGTCAAATTATATATTATATGTCTATATAGACATAGACACTTATACAGTTTATCTATACATATACTATAGTTTTGCACAGTTATCCTTTTAATTTAGCTATGTCAGTTAAGGCAGACCAGTCAAGTCCCTGGACAAGCTCATGTGTAGGTCACAGTAGTCTTTGAAGTATTATATATTTAGTGCAAAAAAGCACTAAAGTTTTATGAGACATTATATAACACAAGATTTCTCTGCAAAGTTTTGGAAGGAGCAGATCTCGCTAAGTTGTTAGAAACTAAAAATTATCTGCAAAAATCATGGGGTTTGGCCTTTGTATTTTTTCCCTGAAATGCAAAAAGCAGCTTAACAGCCTAAAATTAAACTGAATATATACAATATACAACTAAGCTGGTAACCTACTTGCTTCAGGAAGTTTTGGATACAACTTGAAGTAAATTAGAAACTGATTTGTCAAACCCACAGAAGAAAAATCCATTCAGAACTATTAAATAACAAAACACGATTTCTACCTTAGGAAGTTCCCAAGTCACAAATTATGCAAAGCGAGATGAGAATCCAGGGGAAACGTGACTAAATGTTTAGCCTTTTCGAATACTTATTTGTAAATATGTCTTGCTGGTCACTGCCTGGGACAAGATTCTGTGTACAGCAGACCTTTCATCTGACCCAAGATGTTCATTCTTACATTATTGTGTTGGTCAGATATATATACAAAAAGCTTTTTCAGTAATTTTTGAACCTTAGGAATACTAGAAATTTCAATTCTGACTACGTATAACTGGAAGAAGTGCATAAGAAACTTGTCAGTCTAGCAGAGTCTTTTACACATGTTAGAGATAAATAGGAGCTTTAAAAGAAATGTTTAGCTCACTTAAAAGAAAACAAACAAAAAACAACAAAAAAACCTCACACCCCATTTCCAGCTCTCAATTAGTTGTAATTGTGAAATTTCTTCTCTGATATCTTAAACATTTGGCTCTCCACCTGACAATGGAGTCTCTCAGAGTAAAAATAAGTATGGTAAATACAATTAAGAAAGGTTAAGATTTAAAAATCAGTTTCATAACTATTTGCATCTCAGGAAATTATTGTACCCCAGAGAATCATAAATGGACACAATTTTTCCTTGCCACAGCAGGTCACCTCCAGTTCTTAGTAGGACAGAAAAGGAATACTTACATCTGGCAGAGAGTCAATGAAGGAATGAATATTGGCTTCTTTTGCTGCATTAACAATTTCCTCATGTGACACCTCCCGACTGTTATCTCCATATGCGATGTTTTCAGCGATAGTGCAGTCAAACAGCATTGGTTCTTGTGAGACGATACCAATCTGAGCTCTCAGCCACTGAATATTCAGTGTCTTTGCATTTTTGCCATCAAAAAGCTGAGAAACCAAACATTTTACACTTCACTCACATGGCTATATGTGTATTTGAGACTTAGTGTAAATTCATACACAGAAGCTACGCAATTGCAGCACTTTCCTTAGAGATACCATAGTGAAAGCTCACACCACCCGTTCCCCTACTTCTCTATGTTCCAAAATTTTCTTAAGAGCTGTTATATAGTGACAATAGTCCCTTCTGCTGCTTCAGTCGTTTTCTTTCCTTCAAGATTTAACTAGGATTTTGAAGACAGAGGAAGATGGATATGCTGAGGCAACTTCAAAGAGCTTTACCCAAAGTTCTTTCATTTCTTCAGTGCTAAAATTTCCTCTATTTTGCATAAATATATTCCTACTGAAGTAACAGACTAGCAGTACTGTTCCATTAAAATAAAGGAAGAGTTGGGCTCATTTATTCACACACTTTTAAGCCAAACATTCGATCTTAAATTTAATTGTGACATAATGTCTGACAATGGACAAATTTACTTCTGGGTTCTTTAAGATGTCGTTTGCAGCCAATTTTCTTTATTGACAACTCTCTCACACTTTTTAAAATTTTTTGTTAATGTTCACTGTTTTAGGAAAGTACATAGAGAGCAAATTCTATTACTACATTATACAGAAGCAGATATGTACATTTAATAACTTTTAAAGTGTTCTTATAAAAAATTCAGGAAACTTGCTCTGAATTCAAAGCCATCATTAGGCTGTAGATCAGGCATATTTTCTACCACACAAATCCTGTTTCATTAATTCATTATTATGTGGGAAAACGTGTCTTTTTCCATTATATTATTCATCATATTTAAATAAGGAATCTTGATGAGCCACTGCTTGTCTTTACCATTAAAAATATTTTAAAAATAAAACTAAAATACTTTATCATATCACATGAAACTAAATAAGCACACCCTCACTTAACATGTTGTTACAAAAATACTTACCATTTCTCCACCAAGAGGATCATAAAATCTCTCAAGCAGCTGAACGACAGTGCTCTTTCCACAGCCACTGCTACCAACAAGAGCTAGAGTTTGTCCCTTTTCTACTTGTAGATTCAAACCTTGGAGGATTTTGACCTCTGGTCGGTTCGGGTAGTTAAATGCCACATCTTTGATCGTTATGCTTCCGCTAAATGTATCCTACAATTGGAATAGTATAACTGTTATATCTTTAAGATAATTTGACAGATAATTCAAATATAATAGCAGAAGGGTGTGGGGATTTTTTTCTCTCTGCAGAAATTAATAGAGTTTTGTGTTTGCTGGAATGCTGACTAACTCTGTGGTCTGAATATTTGTGAAGTTATAAAATCAAAGCACAGCACTGAACTATTTTGAAAATGCTCATAATTCTGCTGGTTGAATCCCACACAAGCTGTACCTTAATCAGATGTTCAAAACAAATAACCTTTAGACAGTGTGGGCAAAAACTGGACTCACAATAGAGAATTTGGTCCATGTTATGTTTGGATAAAGTGTCAAGAATACATTGAGAATAGGAAGTAATCAGGAGAGGACAAAACAATTTAAGAACGTGAGAAGAGTGCTGCCCATATAATCAATAAATAATATCACCCATTACACAGGGCTTACTTACAGGCTTCTCTCCTTCCTCACCATAACTATCTATTGAGGGTATTCTTTCAAACAGAAGAAACAAGTGGGCTGCTGATATCTTGGCTTTGGCGTAGTCTGGAGCAAAAGAGCTGGTTTGTCCTAATGCCATTGCACCAAATACAACAGCTGAAAACACTCTATAAAAGAAATAAGGAAAAATAAATCAATACATAGACAATGAAGAAAAGGACAATGGAAATGGGCCTGTAGTCGACTTCTTTTTACTTGGAGAAAAAAAGGGACTAAAAAGAATAAAGTATTGACTAACTATTATTGCTTTAATTACTCATTTAGCTCCAGAAACTTGTTCTTACTTTCTTTTAATGAAGTGAGATAAACAAGCTTCCATTCCAAATTCAATGTCATTGTTACTTATTAGCACCAATTTCTTTAATTATTAATACTGGTTAACTGTATTAAGTCTCAACTGGGGCTAGGAGGAAAGTGGTCAACAGATGGTAAAATCATTACTCAAATCCTGTTTTACTATTGCGGTGGTTTCCTCTCTGTGGTTCAACGACCTCTGGGAGTTAATGATTCATTTTTAAGGCATCAGTGAAAATAAGAAATCAAGCCTGTAACACGGTGACAATAAATCCAGCTCTGCTAGAAAAAAGACGAACGGTTCAAATACCAAAAAAAAAAGGTTGAAAACTACACTATTATTGTTTTATGGTTAATGTAGATGTATCATTACAGATTACATTAGAATGGTTTAAGAACCTGCTGTTCTCGGTTAACTGCCACACAGCATAGGATTGCTCATCACTGAAAAAGGGTAATTGATATATGAGGCCTCTTAGTCTGTTTTAAGGCAAAGTAAAATAATTAATCTATATTCATTTTTATGCCTTATCTTTAGAGTGATATAAACTAATCTGTTTCATTCCGTATTTGAACAGCCTGGAAGGGCTCACACGGTTTTAGGTCAGACAACCCCCTTTCAAATCTCACTGATCCACTGGAAGTTCACTCCCCCAGCTGGCTAGAGATGTTTAGCTAGCAGACGGGATACAGACATCTCCCAACATCTTCCAGGCAAAATGAGCTGTGTTAACTATCTTCAATCAGGTTGCCAACAAAAAATTGGTACGATTGGCCCTTCCTGGATATTCAGGTCACTGATATCCATACTGGCAGAATCTCATTATTATCATACTTGTTTCCATAGGCCTGTATTGAGCTATTGTCTCTTAAATTATGAATTAGATTTCTTCTGAGTTTATATATGATCTAGAAGAACGAGACTTTGGTTATAATAGGGGCTCTTAGGTATTATGGCAAACTGTTGGATAAACTGTGATTATAAACCCAAAATATGAAAGTAAGAAGCTAAGGATAAGCTATAATTTCAATATGATTATTTTTTTGTACAGTTTCAGGCCTTAAAAGCCTATGAAGTGCCCTTAGAGAAAAATAATTGTATTATTTCTTGTAAAATTTCAGATTGCAATGGATACACTGTCTAAGGATACTGCAAACTAGAATCATACTTTATTTGTAGTACATGTCTACATTAAAAATAAAATACTCCACCTGACTATAGGTATGTGCAGTACTCTCCATACCTTATGGAATCCTGATTCCCAGTTACTTAAAATGTATTTTAGAGGAGATTTCAAATTTCAATTAATATATCTGACATAGAAATAACAAAGAAGCTGATGACCTATTCTAAAAACAGACTTTTACAATATTATTATGCTTCAATAAACAGGTACAACTATGATTTCTGTAGAATACATAGAGGACCTCACAGCTACATAAACAATAAGATTGGTGAGAATAAACAAATTGATGTAATTAGGATACTGTTTCAACTTCTGGAAAACATAATAGTCCCAAATAAATACAGAAAAGGAAATCCAAAATCAGGCCTATCTGAACAGCTCAGAATCTGTAGTCACTTAGAGTAGACGCTTTGTAATATGCTTTCATTATAGTTAACTACAGAAGAAGAATTTGCCTGTTTTCTTACAGCTTACCCAATGGATTCATCTCTCTAGCAGTAAACAAAGCCCCTTGTCTGGACTGACAGGAAAAAAAAACTGGAAAAGAGATACTTACAAAAACACATTTTTATAGTTCATGTATCCATTTACCACCAAATAGGCACCAAACCGGAAACAGCCAGCATAAGTAAAGAACATCATCGCTTGTGAGAGGGCAAAACAAATTCCAAATACATGTGCTTTTTTCACAGAATTTCTGTAAGAAAGAATGCATATTTTCATAAAAATGTGCAATCATATTTACATCCTTATATGCAAAAAACAATTAATTGACTTCAGATGATACTGTTATGAATAATACCAGAAAAAAGAAAGAAAATGTTTTAATTTTGTTGATATTATTATTACTAGTCACAACCGTACGGTTCCTTCTGGAAAAAAAACCAAACCAAACCGGAGCCAGACTCACAAGTGTCCTTTATTTTGATTAAGAGGCTGTTGTGACTTCTTTTTTACATAGCTGATTTGTGTATTAATCTAGTATAACAGAAGGCCTAGGCTCAGTTTTTTTAAAAATAAAAACTCTGCCTAATCAGTGGTTTAACATGCACTGAAGCATTAGCTACCAAACATATGTCCTATCTTTTCCAGACAGAATGACCCATAGGGCAATACGTTCTTATTTATACTAGAGCAACATTAAGATGAAAGTCTCAGAGCCATCCCATCAATGTCAACACTTAGAATGGTTAAGCACTGTCCTGCGAGTTGTGAGATAGGGACTCAAAACCTAGCAGCCTAAGAAAAAAGCTAAAGTAATCTCTTTTATGTTCTGCGCTGTGCTCTAACTACCCAGTTATTATGGTGGACGTATTAGCAGCACCCCAACTTGTCTCCCATCTTAATGCAATACTCAATTTACATTAAAAGTTTTTAATTAAATATCTGAAACACTTCAGGTGGGAGGTTAAATTAGACGACTTCCAAAGTTCACTTAAAACTAACATTCTTCCAAAACAAGTGACATTGCATTAAAAGATACCAATATTATCACAGAAAATTAATTAAATCAAAGAACAAAAATATTGGCTGGTGGTTACATTGTTAATAAAAAATATTCAAAATATTTACATTCATGCTGAAGTATTTAAATTATACATGAAACTATACATACTAAACAGCAACAAAATAATCAGTGTTAGCTCAAGTAAATGTTTGTCATTTATTCTATAATTTAAATACAGATTTCTGGTTTCAGCTTAGTTATTTTTATTATACCTGTATGGTACACACAAATGTTCTCCGTACATCAACTCAAATTTTCTTTCTCGGGTCAAACTAACAACAGTTCTAATATTTTCTATGGCTTCTGTGGCAATCTGCAATAGAAACACAAATGTTTTAATCAAAAGTTAAGATTATGTTGCAATTCCTTAATCTAAACTAAGAAGTGTCTACTGGAAAATAATTTTATATGTTTTATAATTGTTATTAAAATCATGGATCTTTGATATAAAAAATAAACATTCAGTGTTTTTCTTTTTATGATAGTGAGATTTTCTGATGATGATGAGAATTTTCTGATAAGACCCCTTAACATTATTTTTTAATTTTAGAAATAATAGACTAGATATGAATTTATTTTGCATAATATTGCTACTGTTTTTGGTGTATTACATGGCTCATATTTTTCATAAAGCTCTTTGAGAACCAAGTGCTTTGGAGCACTGTGCTTCTCTGGACCTTGTTCCTTGAACTCCCTGCTTCCTGCTCATGACTAGAAGTCAGTGAAGTCTCTGTTCTCCAGAAAGCTTTCTGAACTGAGCACTCACACAAAAAGGAGGAGAGAAGCTTCAGGGAGAAATGTGAGCACTTTTATTAAGTTATTTCACTACAACAGGCTTGTCTGTCTCACTTCAGTACCAGGTAAAATCAAGGAGATGGTTATTCTGGGAGTTACTGAAAACTACTTGAGAGACAGTGCAGTCATTGGTCACAGCCAGCATGGGTTCATGAGGGGAAAGACCTGTTTAACTAGCTAAATTTCATTTTATGACAAGGTCACCCAGCTAGTTGACCAAGGGAAGCCAGTAGATGTGGGGCTTTTTATTTTAACAAAGTTTTTGATACTGTCTCTCATACTATCATTCTGGACAAGTTCTCCAGCAAATGGACAAGTCCATAATACAATGGGTGAACAATTATCTGATGGGTCAGGCTCAAAGAGTTACAGTAAATTAAGTTACATCAGGCTGGTGGCCAGTGGCTAGTGGGGTTGCACGGGGCTTAATTTTAAGGCCAGTGCTCTTTACTGTTTTTTAAAATTATCTGGATGCAGTAGTCAAATGTACACTATGTAAGTTTGGCAATAATACTAAAGTAGGAGGAGTTGTTGACTCCCTCAAGGGTAGAGAGGCCTTACAGGGATATCTGGATAGACTAGAGACTGGGCAATTACCAACCATATGAAATTTAACAGCAAGTGCTGCATTCTGCACTTGGGACAGGGTAATCCTGGTTATATGTACAAATTAGGGGATGAGAATTGGGAGAGCAGCCCCACAGAAAGAGATCTAGAGGTTTGGGTTGATGGCAAGTTGAATATGTCAACAGTGTGCCCTAGCAGCCAAAAGGGCCAACTGTGTCCCGAGGTACATCAAGCACAACATAGCTAGCTCGTTGAGGGAGGTGATTGTCCCACTCTACAGTGCACTGGGGTGGCCCCACCTTGAGTACTGTGTGTAGTTTTGGGTGCCTCAATATAAAAATGACATGAAACTATTAGAGTGTGTGCAGAGGAGGGAGACCAAGATGGTAAAAGGTCTCAAGGGCAGAAGTTATGAGGAGCGGCTGAGGGCACTTGGTTTGTTCAGCTTGGGGAAGGGAAAGGTGAGTCCTCAAGGTGGGCAGCGGAGGGGCAGGTGCTGATCTCCTCTCTGGTGACCAGTGATAGAACACGAGGAAATGGAATGAAGCTGCGCCAGGGGAAGTTCAGATGGGACATTAGGAAAAGGTTCTTCACTGGGAGGGTGGTCAGTCACTGGAACAGGCTTCCCAGGGAAGTGATCATGGCACCAAGCCTGTCAGAGTTCAAGGAGCATCTGGCTGATGCTGTCAGTCAAATGTTTTAGTTTTGGGTAGTCCTGTGAGGAGCAGGGAGTTGGACTCGATGATCCTTATGGGTCACTTCCAATGAGAGATATAGTATGATTTCAATTCTATGAACAGAATGAAATTCTGTTCTGAAAAGTGACCCTGTATATTGTGTCTTAAAGGACACCAGACTTATGGCCATTCTCCATACAGCTCAAAGGCCTACAGTTTAAAACAGAAAAACAAATAATCTCCATACCCCACTATTTTTATCTACATTATTTAAACCACAGATATGAAACCATTTTTCTTCATAAACTATTACCAAATATTTTTAAACTATGATACAGTTATCTTTGTTCTAAAATATAGGGGTATAATTATATTATAGCCTCAGTAATGCTTGTGCCACTGTTTGAAAATCTGCATATAATTGACTAACTCATTGATTTGAATGTAATTCACAATGTTAACAATAAAGAAATTAAATAGATTTTATTCTTCTTAGTTATATTGTCTCACCAGTACTCAAAGGAGTAGTCTTTTTTTGTTAGTAACCTAAGTTCAGCAACCCTATGCAGAAAGCAAATTTTCCTCAGGGAACCCCATTTTCACTGAAGAAAACTTATTTTTTAAAAATTGGTAATTGAATAAAATGCCTGTAATCTAGTACTTGCTTAGGTGGCCTCAAGAAGGGAAACTCATACATTGCTAGGAAAAGAAAGTATTTTACTAAGCTTTGCAAAAAAATACTAAATTTTTGTAACACCTGTGCTAATTCCTTACAATCTGCTACATTAAGAAAGTGTCTAGTATCTATTCCAGTAATTTTCAACTTTTTTCTGCCATATCTTACAACTAAACAATATAAAATAAATGTTTAGCCATTAGAAAGAAGAAGCAGAAGAAATATAGTCAGTTGAAAGGAAAGGAAATGCATCCTTCTGTCTTGTGCAAAAAAACCCATGGAAATATTCTGCCCAATTTCCTGTGGACTTGAAGAGACAAGTATGTTTTCCAGCAACTTCATCTACAGACATGATGGAAGGAAATAAAACTAATTTAGTAAATAGGAGTTCCTGGGGGGATGGTGTTAGATCCAGATTAACACACCTGAATTTAGGGGTCTAAGCTACCAGTGTAGTCAGTGGATACTTATTCAACAAAACTGGAAAGCAATTCAGCTGCCTACGAACTATGTGTCTACCTAGTCTCTCCAGGATCGTTGACTGGAGGGGGAAGGACTCTGATTCAGTTACCCACATGCAGATGGTTTGTGCCATTGCAGATGCTCTAGGATACTCAAAACATTAATATCTAATGGCAGATAGAGCATAGACATGGAGTAGTCCCACACCCTTCTGAAACGGCAGCTGGAGGCCACACAGACACTATGGCATCTCCAGAACTATCAGGGGACATTACACTGCTAGCACATATGCAGACATATACATGATTTTAACACCAAATCTGAAGATTAATACCTTTGCTTATGTGCACAGCCTTAGATACATTGTTTTATTCTCAACAACTTTTAAAAACAGTAGGACATAGGAAGGGATTTTAGAAAATTGTTACCTTGAAGCAAGCAATATCTGGGAAGTGATGAAATAGTTTTTCTGTCCCAAAAGGATTTTTGGAATGAAGTGGCATTAAAAGACTTCATCTAATTTCTTAAACAAGAGTCTAGCCTTCTCGTTTTTCAGTTCTCATCTTTCTCTTCCACTCAAGAAATAAAGGAATGGCAAACAGACCCAGAAACCAGTGGATATATACATATTATCCCTGCAAACATTAATAAGATGAAAGACAAAAAAAAAAAAAAAGAGCAGTATAATATATGTAAGACAGATGATGTGCCAAAAAGAGATGACAGAAAAGAAAAAAGAGGATGTCAAAATGAAGAAGATTGCAAAGTAAGGAAAACAGAGATGATCAAAACAGGAAGGAGAAAAGAATGTGCCTGAATAGCACTTAGCACATTCTAGGGTTTATCAACCATGAAAATAAATGTTGGTTAATAACGTAAGTCTTCAATTATTATTGAAGAGGTGTTATGCTCTCTAGGTCCACTAGTGTAACTGTGTAGAGTCTGGCTGTCTCTGGAAGCTACATATTATGATATGTTCTGTATTTGAAAGTAACACATCCATCAACAATGCTTTGGTAAACATGACTATGTATGTTACACAGAAATACATAAACTTCTCCAGACCCACCTTTCCTGCAGCTTCCAGCTCTTCTTTATCTTTTTTAGCATGCCCAGCCAACATCTTCATTTCAATCATTCCTGCCACGGCAATGATTGGCACAACAGCTAAAAGTAGCAGGGTCAGCTGCCAGCCATAAACTAATGATATAATAATTCCAGTCCCCAGGTTTGCTACATTTTGGGCAATTAATGCCAGTCTGACACCAGTGGCCTGGAGGAATAAAAATGACATTTCTTGCTAAAGTAACTGCATCTTAAATAAGGAAAGCATTTTCACCTATAATATTTCTGATTCTCAAAACACTGTTTAGAAGGTCTTAATTCAGTTTTACTATTTTTCAAAACAGGAGTTTCTTAAAACTATATTGTAAGAATATTGTAAAAAATTATCTAGATCGCTTTTAATTCTTCACTCCCCATATTCTGAATACTTATATTTTCACTGCAATTTCTAAATTCTGCTCTTGTAGCTACCAGATTTTAACCATATCGCATGTTTACATTTACAGCTAAACATTAAAATCTGTCCCATTTTGTAGATCATGCAGCAAGCTTGATAAGTCATCACACAGAGCCTAGTGAAGAAGAAAATTAAATGTTTAACTTCTACTATGGAAATAAAGCCAAAGATAGTACAGAATCCCTCACTTCAGGAAAAAAGTATTTTTTCATGTAAACATAACTTCGTGTAGCAGTAACAATTTACTTAAGCATACACAAATACAGTGTTCTTTAGCCTAATATTACAGACCCCTGAAAGTCCACGAGTCACTTCTAAAGAATCTCCAAAATTAACAAGGAAAAGGGAGTCTATTGCCACTATTTTTTTTCATATAAGGAATCTGTATGATGAAAAAAATAATAGGCAGTCATAAACTGAACACATTTAGATGCTTATCTTTAGGTAAATCAGATGTCTCTAAACAGATTTCTTAGATAAAGAGATTCTCAATTTTATTAATAATGAAAATCACAATACACCACAATACTAAACTTAAAAAAGGTTTAATTGAAAATTATTTTCTAAACATATATTACCATCATTGTTAAGAAACACATCAGTGCATGCTATGCCAGCTATCATTTTATAGGAAAATTTACTTGTCAAAGTCAAGACTCTTATCAACCAGTCAAATCCAAGCTGCAACTTTGCTACATACTAAACCAAGTATGAAAAATTCCAAACCAAAATTTTACTTACTCCTTTCACTTGTGAGGCATCATTAGCAAGTCTTGTAGTTAATGCTCCAGTGCTATTTTTAGAATTATCAAACCAGCCCATGTCCTACAATAAGACACATTTTACTTAGCACCAGTTTTTGGACATTTCATGTAAACCGCAAAGTAACACTGAGCTCTGCCTAATATAACCGAATTCAGTGTCAGAAGACTATGTGGCAGTGTATCAGTTCTGCATGTTTAATTAATTCTAATTCTCTCGTTGCAAAATTAAAATTTTTAGGAAAAAGTGTATGCTTGTGAGTGATCTGATGTTTACACCATCACTGCTGAGAAGGAAGGAAGAAGAGCAGCCTGGGGGATTCCCAAAACCAAAATCTATCCTCCTCCACTGCTGCTGAAACTGCATCTCCTTGAAGGAGATGACTTCAGTCACACTCCTTCACAACTGCAGAGCTGTTTGGGCATGAATTAAGTGTAAAGCATTTTCCAGGTGAACACTCCCAATTAATTGTTTTGTTTCTCCCCAGATTATAGAGGCTTATTTGGAAGCTATGAGACAAAAAACCCCACCAAAATGAACTAGTCTGTCTGATCAAAGTCAATTGTTGGGGCGAGGTACACAGTTTATAATTTATTCCCTATGTGACCAAATATGTGATTTAAATTTTCATGTGTAAATGTGTATATTTTCATTGAATGAAGACCTGGTGATGTAATACAGGCATTTGTGACCTCAAGACTCAGTTGTAAGATTGTTTTTTTATTAGGTTTTCAGTGGGGTTGATATATAAATCATAGTTTTTCTTTCACATTGCAATAGTTTTTCACAGTTTTTCTTTCACGTTGCAATAGTTATGTTCGCATGAATCAAATTCTGTGTCTACATGTAGCTTTATGTGCAAGTCATAAAATAATAAATTATATATTTGAAAATTGTATTGATTTACAACTTTCTCCCTAAGGATACTTTTCTTAACCACACTTAATTAACCAAATTGGTTTCTAGACTGATTTAAAGAATAATCTCTGTAGATGAGTCTTCATAGGATAGAATAATGTAGAATACAGTTGTTTTATGATATCTATACAATTAATTATTTTTAAACCCCTGGAAATCAAAATATTATCTTTACCTGTCTAAGCATTGCTTTAAAAGCCATGAATCGAAGCCTCATTGTAAGAATTTCTCCAGCTTTGCCAAATGTGAAACCCTGTTTGAGAAAATGTACAGTGCTTAACATACTATTATATTGTTTGTGTTTATTCAAGAAATATTTTAGATACATTGTCTCAACGATGTCAGAGCAGAAAAATATTGCAATCCTGATTGCACAAAGCAAATGTAAAACCAGGTTTAAAATCCATAAATTCTACTAGGTTCACAGTACAGACATTCAAACATTATTTATCAAAAAGATATAGAGAGCAAATATTTTTCAGTTAAGTTTGATCATTATCTTTGCTGTGCTCCTATACTGTAGGTAAATTTGCATAAGTATGGGACTTGGAAAATTTCACAAAAGAACATCAGGGAATGGTCACTATATAAAGAGATTAGAAGAATGTTTTAATTTTTTCTCATTCTCACTAATTTGAGAGGGTTACATCTCAACTAACTCTACCCCTTCATTTTTGAGGGGGTAAATGTTTATAAGCTGAGCAAATCTGTCATAGCCATCTACAACTCAGTCCTCTATACTCAGAGCCTTCTTGCATGCATGTGCAACAAGACAATTCCACAAATAAACCCAGTGGTTTTTACAGGAGACTGTTATGCTGCTGTCCCAAGTGCACATCATTATTTCACTATGTGGCCTCATTTAACGGATAAAACTATACAAACATATTCATAAATTATAAATCAGACTATATATGAAAATATTGAAATACCAAAGTTTGCACCTGTATCGTTACTTTTTTTTTTTTACTGTGGCACTGCTGTAGCAGCTAGATATGTATGAAAATTAGGGTAAAGTTCAAGTACTTTTTTTGTGAAAGTTGAGATGGCTATAGAGATCAGTGAGAGCTGGGGATGAGGTATTATTGTTCAACCACTAGTATTTAAGCAGGAGGAGCTGAATATCTTCAGGAGTTAGGGCAGTAAAAAATTGGAGAGCTAAGGCAGGAGATTGGTCGATTTGCAGTTACTAACATTCAAATAGGAGGGCTTGAGGGTGAGAAAGGAGTGGTATAGTACAAAGGTGGTGATGAAAAACGAGTGAGAGAATCCAGAGTTTCATACTGTGGTTTGTTTGACTGGGGAAGAAGAGGGGAAATTCTGAAGTTAAGTTGTCAGAATAGGTTGTAGGTCAAAAAAGATTCAGTTCAGTCAAGGCACAACCCCATAAATGCAGGTTCTGGTTTGAGTTGGAGACATGTTAAGAAGATACAAATTTTTAGTATATTTCAGATCTGGTTTCTAATATGAGATGAACAATTATAATAAAGGTAAAATAATACAACGTACCTGAAAAAAGAAAGTAAAGAAGGAAATTATCCCAAGGACTAAAAACAGCACTGAATATAAGTTGCTCTTTTCTCTTAAAACAGTCTTGTCAGTTTCTGAAAAAATCTGTAAGATAATATTTAAAGCAACATTTTGTTACTCAACTAATAATTGAAAATGCTCCTATCTTTCTCAATAACTATGATTGATAGTCATTTGCATTCATATAATATATGAGCATATGTTACATACGATTATAGGTATAACAAGCGAATTTCAGATTGTAGCAAAATTTTTAAGATTTTGTAAATTTCATATAAGTCTTCAGATTTTTGTAATAGTGCTTCTGCATGCACACCTCAGCTTCATTATTCAGGGATTGTTTAAGACCTGGGGTTTTTTTTAGAAATAGGTTTATGGGCTTTATAGTTTTTTGCATATTTTAACTTACCCCTATAATTTCTGAAAATATGATTGCAAATGCAGGTTGTAAAGCTCCATTGATAATTGCACATAAAATTCCAGCAACAAAGTATGGCCATTCAGTTTTGTTCAACTTCATAATTTTCAGGAATGAAGCTGGAGGTAATTCTTCATCCTAAAAAATGGGAATGCTGTTAGGGCAAACATATACGTATTTGGAGAATTATGGAGAAAAAGAGAGATTAATAGTTAACTTCCTACTCCCAGAATCCACTCATGGGAGGTCAAAAGCTGTACTTTTTCATAACATGAATAATTAACTGACTGCACATTTCTTGTTATGATTTTAATACAAGGAAGAAAGAGCTGTTAGTCTGTATCTACAGCTCTTGTCAACATATTTTAGTTTATCTGTATCATTTTCATTGATGAATACTCTTGGCATCGATCAATGGTGACTGATCTATTCATTCTGGGCATATTGTTGTGTGTAATCCATGACTACATTAATTTAAGTATTTCTTCATTAAGCAATGTATAACAGCAAAGTATTTGTTGGAGATATGAATGCAATAATATTTATCGTATGGGACTTTTTCTAAGTTTTTTGTTCATGTTGGACCAGATGTTCTGTTTCTGATCCAAAAATGAATGTTAAAACTGTATAGACTATGTCAGTATGGTATGCAAATATATGTAAGTATATTTCTTTCATAGCACATTGATTCCAGGTGGCCAAGAAGGCCAATGGCATGCTGGCCTGCATCCAAAACAGTGTGGCAAGCAGAATTAGGGAAGTGATTTTCCCCCTGTACAGGGCACTGGTGAGGCTGCACCTTGAATCCTCTGTTCAGTTTTGGGTCCCTCACTACAAGACAGACACTGAGGTGCTGGAGTGTGTCCAGAGAAGGGCAACAGAGCTGGTGAAAGTCTGGAGCACAAGCCCCGTGAGGAGTGGCTGAAGGAATTGGGGTTGTTTAGCCTGGAGAAGAAGAGGCTCAGGGGAGACCTGATCGCTCTCTACAACTACCTGAAAGGAGGTTCTGGTCTGTTATCCCAGGTAACTGGTGATAGGATAAGAGGAAACAGCCTCAAGTTGTGCCAGGGGAGGTTTAGACTGGATATTAGGAAAAATTTTTTCACTGAAAGGTTTATCAGCCATTGGAACAGGCTGCCCAGGGAAGTGCTGGAGTCATCATCCCTGGAGGTATTTAAGAGACTTGTGGACAAGGTGCTTAGGGACATGGTTTGATACTGGCAGTGTTAGGTTAACGGTTAGATTTGATGATCTTAAAGGTCTTTTCCAACCTAAAGATTCTATGATTCTCAAGAATAAACTCATCCTTGTTACAGATTTTTCAAATCCAGTCTTATTTGTATAATCATTCATGGTGAGAATAACAAAACATGTTATATTATCAGTTAAAGGCTATTTAGAATCAGAAAATTCTCATGGGTTTTTTTCACCCTATCAAATGCCTCCTTCTTCTTGTACCTTTCTAGTGCAGGAGACTGAATTGAATTTTAACATGCTTTGTTGAAAAGAATCAAAGTTCACCAACAGTTCTGCAAAGATACTTACAGGTGAACTCGTTTTCTCATCAGGATCATAAGCTCCTGGTTTTCTCATACTTCTCCGAGTTGATCGTCTTCTCAATCCTCTTGTAAAGGATTCTTCAAATTCTTGTTCAGCCTCACTTCTTTTGACAATAAGTGCATTCTCATCTTTTTCTGATGATGGAACTTCAGCTTCTATTGCCTAAAAGAAGGAAGAACATGATGCTAAGATTAATTATGCATATATTACTTTGAATTTTCAAAATTATGAGGTAATCAATGTAAAAGTAACTTTGTTTCAGTGGAAAGAGATATGGGGAAAACAATATACAATTCTATAATGCAGATATGAAAATCTATTATATTTGAGGACATTTCTATCTTCAGAGCTTGATTATTATATATAACTATCCCACCTCTCTAGGAAATACTTATACTAAGTTCAGGGCAGGGGAGCAAAAGTAGCTGCTCTTTTTTTATGAATTAAGTCCTCACAGAATTTTAAATTGAGTGTAAACTGTTTGCACTCATCTTGGGATCTTTTTGAATGAGTTCTCAGTGGATACGCTGTTTATTCATTAAGTGAGAAAAAATTACCCCTCTTTAGTGCAGAACACAACAATTTTTTACTTCAAATGTAGTAAGGATGTTCAGGATGGAACAAGTCAAAAAGAGATTTTGACTGAAAAATCTGAGCCGTTTGGAAAAGAGACCTATTTTTGGTGGTGGTTTTGCCAGTCTGACAGAATAAGTAGTTGTCTATCAACCACTAATGTATTTAATAGTAATTGGATTCAAAGTTGCCTTTAATGTGTATTTCTTTTTTTTTCCAGAAAGTTTTTATTTTTTACTGCTTTTTGTACTATTAATAAAAATAACATTTTTACTTTCTTTCCATTTGTTGTTATTTGCTGTTCTTTTCATTTTTTTTCTGGTTTATATTTCCCAGTTTTTCCCATTCTCTCATTTGTTTGAATACAAAGTTACTTTGAATCTAAGGTGACCAAATGCAGTCTCATAGTTATTTTATGAAGTAATGTTTTAATTGAGCTAGTTTACTCTTTTCAGTCTGGCACACTGAGACAGCAGTTTTAGTTTCTTTAATGGACATGGTAGTTATGCTGTAAACCACCAGTGACACAGAAGGCTACAGTAAAGCTCAGCTTTAGCCTAAGTATCACATGGGACACTAGAATTTGTCAAAGTATTTGGTTCTTCACTTCACTCATAAATTTCTGATATTTATATTAATTTCCAATCTCTTTGTTTCTGGCTACATAACTTTAAAAGGGTATGTATTTTTTCACTCAGCATAACTGGAGTATTTTTCTTTTTTCTCATATTCTTCCACATAATTTTTCCTTCAGAAAGAAATTCAGGATGAAGAACTATAACTAAACACCTTAAAACGTGCATGCTCTATTCCTCCAGTATCAGTTACTATATTTCACCTTTTATCATAGTCTATGAACAAGCAGTGGAATAGCAGACTACTGTAGTTAGCTGCTCTACATTAACTGTGTAAAAGGAAAACATAAAATAACTTTTTAACTTTAAATCCCTGGAAAATTAAAACTCTGCTATCCTGGGTTTAAATAGGTTTGGTAGGAAAACTGGTGGTCTCTCAAACTATTGCTCGCCTTTCAAAGTACATAGTTTTTTGCTGTTAACAAAATATGCTGCAGAATTCCCCATACTTCTCATAGCAGACAATAGCTATGGGCACAGAATAGAAGAAAAAAAAAAAAAGAGAGGCAGCATCTAGTAAGAATAAAATACCTGCATGTTAACAAGTTTGTAGTAGATCCCCTTTCTCTCAAGCAATTTAAAATGATTCCCTTGTTCTGTGATAACTCCACCTTCAAACACAGCTATAAGATCTGCATTTCGGACTGTTGACAGCCGATGAGCTACTACAACCGTGGTGCGTCCTTCCCTTGCCTAGAAATAGCAATATTTAATATGAGTATTTCTAAGTGCATTCAAAAATTCTTCATCTTGATATTGAAGTTGAATAAGACCTAAGGGAAACATAAAAATGGTTCACAGAAAAATATAACTTAAAAAAAATAAAAAATCAAAAAACATGTTTCAATGAGTACCTTAACACAGAAATATAATCTTTAGCTTGAAAATTAATATTAGAGACAATATTTCACCATGGCACATAAAAATATCAAACTTTGATCACAAATATCTGAAATTCTCAATATTTAAAATTTTAGAATGTTACAGTATTACAAACCATAAAATTTAAAAATGCTAAAGTTTTTATATTTAAGCCAATAATTGCTCATTTAAACCATAAAATCTGTGAAGGATAGTTTATCCTCAGAAACATTAGAAAATATTGCACACTGACATTTAAAAAATTCCAATGTCTTAAGCTCTAAGTCACTGCTGACTTCAGTAGCCTCACTGAAAATAACATTCCCTACAATTTAGGGATGGATGCCATCCAGAGGGACCTTGACAGGCTTGAGGAGTGAGGCTACGTGAACCTCATGAAGTTCAACAAGGCCAAGTGCAAAGCTCAGTCCCTGGGTCAGGGCAAACCTCAACATCGATACAGGCTGGGGGATGAATGGGTTGAGAGCAGTCCTGTGGAGAAGGACTTGAGGGTACCGGTGGATGAAAAATTGGACATGAGCCAACTACGTGTACTGACAGCCCTGAAGGCCAACTGTACCCTGGGCTGCATCAAAAGAACTGTGAGACCAGCAGGTCGAGGGAGGTGATTTTGCCCCTATTTTCTGCTCTTGTGAGACCCCACCTGGAGTACTGCATCCAGCTGTGGAGTCTCCAGTACAAGAAAGACATGGACCCGTTAGAGCAGGTCCAGAGAACGGCCACCAAAATGATCACAGGGCTGAAAGACCTCTCCTATGAAGAAGTCCCTATCAGTATATAAGGGGGCTTATAAGAGAGTTGGAGAGAGACTTTTTACCAGGGACTGTAGTGACAGGACAAGGGACAATGATTTTAAACTGAAAGAGGGTATATTTGTATTGGATATAAGAAAGAAATTTTTTAAGATGGAGGTGGTGAGACACTGGAATAGGTTGCCCAGAGAAGCTGTGGATTCTCCACCACTGAAAGTGTTCAAAGTTAGGTTAGACAAGGTTTTGAGCAACCTGGTCTAATGAAAGATGTCCCTGCCCGTGGCAGAGGGATTCAACTAGATAACTTGTAAAGGTCCCTTCCAACGCAAACTATTCTATGATTCTGAGTCCCTAGGTCTTCTGCAAAGGTTTATGAGGATCCAAATTTACAGGATAGTGTGAGCCAGAAAAGCTAGACAAACAACTTCTCTGTTAAATGTCTTTCCATTAATAATCTCCTCAAACTGTCTTTCTCTATCCAACAGCTCTAGGAAGCATTACAGTACGTCAGCAGAATCTGACTGAGTAAATTCAGAATACCATTCAGGGATTCAGCCCCAGTATGAATGTAGAGACTCCTGAGTTGCACCAGGGACCATCTGTCCCTTAGTGAGACAGCTCTACTTCAAGAACAAGACAAGTACTTAGAAGTATTTATGTTAACTGAAGCAAATGTTTTCTTGGAGTGTTTCCTGCCACATCACTGCTACAATCACTTACCGCATGCTGGTAGTGCTACCTTGTCTGTCAGACTTCAACACAAGTTAATTAAGTAGGTGACTGACAACAATATATGTGTCAGGAAGACAGATAATTGTAGGGGATGGTATTTACACCAAGAAAACGTTTATTTAAGCTTAATAATGCAGAAAATATAACTCCATCTCCTCACTTGAAACAAGATTCCTCTCTGTAATACCTGCAGGATCTCAATAATTCTCTGTACAGAGAAAATTTGCCAAATCCATGTTCACCTTTTGAGTTTTAAGGGTCTCTGTTTCTTGCAGATCTTTCAATAAATGTCTGGGAAAAAAGTAAATATTAGGCTCCTGCTTACCTGCTTAATTTTAGAACACTACTGACCTTGTCCAGTGCTGCCTGCACAACTGATTCGCTCTCAGTATCCAAAGCTGACGTTGCTTCGTCAAGCAGAAGAATTTTAGGATTGCGAACCAGAGCTCTGGCAATTGCTATTCTTTGCTTCTGGCCTCCACTCAGCTGTGCCCCTCTTTCTCCAACCACAGTTTCAAACTTCTACAAGACAACCACACAAGTTTCCAAAACACTCAGTGGCACAGTCCTTTCACCAAAGAAAGGCAGTGTAAAGAAAAGGCACATCAGTGTTAATAACCCCAGCAGCATCTTCTCCTTCCTCTAAAACACTACAGGATAAATATCTACTTGGATATACCTGCCTAATAGTTTGGGTCCCTGGAATTCTAATAATTCTTCAAACATCCACCAAATCATGACCTAAAGATTTAAAATTAACATTATTCTCAAAAGTTACAAGGAAGCACTGCGTAGCTTATTCACAGCTCTAGGGATAGCTTCCTCTGTTTATGAGAATCCCTTCTAGGGAACTATTTGGTACAAGAAGGTTTAGGAGAAATTATTTCAGCAAGTTGGGTAGCTTCATGATGAAGTCATAAGCATTCGCTTCCTTGGTAGCTTTTTCAATCTCTTCCATGGTGACATCCTCACGGCCATAACGAATATTTTCTGCAATAGTAGTAGCAAAGAGCACGGGTTCCTGATTCACCACACCAATGATCTCCCGCAGATATCTTACATTTAAGGTCTTAATATCCTGCCCATCAATGGTAACCTAAAGAAAAGGAAGCAGGCAAAAACTGTTTACTGTGTTTTAGTCAAGGAACCTCTCCCTCATGGTTGGCACATGCCTTTTCAGGGGAGGCTTTACCATGTCATTGGAACAAGAGCAGTGAGGCCAGAAATAGACTTCCAACAACTGTGACAAACAGTCATCTCACTTGGGGTATCTTACCGTGCCTTCCTTGGGATCGTAAAATCTCTGGATGAGCTGAACAGTTGTACTTTTCCCACAGCCACTGCCACCAACCAGGGCCACTGTCTGGCCACAAGTAATCCTGAGATTCAAGCCCTTCAGTATCTGAGCATATAAGAGAGGTGACCAAAAACATAACACAATGTAAAAATTTCAGTGTAAATCTGAAGAAACTCTAAAGACTACAATCAAATATCCTTCATATTGATAGCAGAATCTGGTACAAAATAAAATTTAAATACATGTGAGTTTGAATTTTGGAAACCTAATGGCTACAGCTTAATTTTCTTCATATTTACATCACAATTGATCCAACATCAATGTATTATATAATACACTTCACAGATACCCATATCATGAACCAGTTAATTCAATAAAGTAATAATATGATTACTGCTGTCGTGTTTTAACTCTGGCCAGCAAAATAC